GCGCGGCGCGGGAGCTGCCGGCGCTGTCTGCGTCTCCGGGGAAGGAGCGCCGCGCCTGGGAGGAGGCGGTGGCTGGAGGAGCGCGAGCAGTGGCAACCCTGTCCGCGGCCGCGACGTTCGCCGGGGCTGCCGGAGGATCGAGCGGCTGTAGTGGTGAGTGCTCCTCCTCGCCCTCGGGATCGGGGGAGGGAGTCGGCGAGGCCGGGAGCGCTCCCTCCGCTCCCGCCTCCATTTTCCCGGCGCTCGGCCCGGCCATCCGGGCGCGGTTCGAGCGACCGCTGCCTGGGGCGGGGTCGCTGCCGGTCTCGAGCCGGCCGGTCTGCGCCGGGCGAGGAGCCTACGGGTGCGTAGGGGTCGGAGGGCCTGGGTTGCACCTCGCGCCCCTGGGGGCTGCACGGAGGGAGACAATGAGATCTGGGCCGCCTAGAGAAGGTGCGGTTGGGATTCTCCGACCTGGCACTGGGGGGCTGGTGGCCCGGGACCGAAGGGAGGAAGGGACTGTTCGCCAACCAGCCGCAAAAACCTGTGACTCAATGTAGTATTGCTCAGGCTTCGATGCCCCCCACCATTCACAGATGAGTTCAGTGCAGAGATTTAGAAAGGCGGGGCGCCTTCTGCGTCTTCTCATTAAAGAAGCTAAGTAATCGCTTGCTCCAATGCTTTTCAGCCCTGTTTTATCTTTCCGTGTACGTTCCCGCCGGAAATCTAAACTGCAGTTCATTGGGGGTGGGGGCAGAAAGGGAGGCGGCAGTGTAATAGTATTAGTTGGGATGCCTTCGTTTTAAGATGGTCTCCACGATGTATTTTTCTTAATTAGGCAGTGTCTTAGGGTGGCCCCACTGTGTGAATTGGAAACCGCGTATGCCTTGTATGCCCGAAGACGTGGCTTAGTGTGAAATAAGAGCCTATGGGTTTCACATTGTTAACCTGTGTCTTGTGTATTACATTTCTTATACTCTGTAGGAAGAGCATTTTGGCAATGTGGGAGAAGGGATAGATTCTTTACTTAGTCTTCCAATAAGGGTTGATGTTGTCTGCAGCATTTCCCATGGAGATATGGAGAGCTGCCTAGTGTGTGAAGTCCACTGTAAAAGAACCGTAAAGGTAACGGGCTAGGGGTGAGGTGTGATCGGATTGTTAAAGGGTGGTATTGAATCCATGAGAATATTAAATTCAGTAGACATATGTGAAATACCTACTCTCAGGCAGAGTAAAGGACACAGAGTGAACAAGAACTACAACTTGGGATGGTTCAAAGAACTCTTTGGAGCTGGGTGGAGGGAAGGGGGTAGGAAACCAGTTCCATATGCACTGGAATTGGCTGGCAACCTGGATAATCTGTTGAACTCTTAAGTAGTTCCCTATCAGTAAACAGGAATAACACCACCTGTTTACACTTCCCCAGATAGTCGTCACCAGGATAAATGAGATGATGTATGCGAAAATAATAGCACCTCTCCTGACAGTGGGATGTTTAGCAAAGGTTAATTCCTTTTGTTCCTTTCCTACTGATCTCTGAGGTTTTTTGAGGGGAGGGCGGGTAAAAAGTGGATATAGTAATTGTAGTAATATGGCACATTATATAATAAATATAGAAGTAAAGATGTAGAATAAGGTAGTCGAGGAGAGAGATTGATTCTAGATTATGGGCATTGGGGGAAAATCCTTTGAAGCCTTGGCGTTAAGGATGGGTAGGATTTCAACAGATGCAGATGGAGAGGGGAAGACTTTCCACCTGGAGGTGGTGCTTTCCTTTGAGAGCTGAATTGAGCCTGAGGATCATTGGGGGAGGGGCAAAACAGAGACACAGAAAGGTTTTTAGCTCTTCTTGAGTCTTTCAGATTGTCTGTTTTGTTTGTTTGTGTGTGTGTGTGTATCTGGATATAGCTCTGTTCAAGTAAGTACAAAAATATCTGCAAAGCTTAATACCTGATTTCTTTTTGCATTAAATATTTTGTGTTGTTTGAATTGCTGCTCTCTTTTGTTTGAATTTAGTAATTATTTGTAGATCTTTCCTTGTGATGAGTATTGCTGTTTGTTAGAAGCAGCAACTAATGTTTTAGTGACACAGTGTCACTAAGATTACATAGAAGGTTATTTATTGACTGAAAGGAGTGGCGTATGGAGCACATGGTATGTTTTCACAATTTTTAACAGTTTGTTTTCTGAAAAGGTATTTTTGATCATTGTCTTTTGAGGATAAAAGTGACTACTATATGATGTACATTAATTTAAGCACTTTATTGACTTATTGAATCCTCACTATAAACTTATTCAATAGATTCATTATTATTTGAGAAAATAGGTACAGATAATAAGTTACTTGCCCAAAACTACAGAGCTGTAAAGTAGCAGCCTAATTCTTAAGCTTGTATTCTTAACAATTTTCCTGTGCTACTACTGTAGTAAAATAAACAACACACACTTTTTTTTTAAACTTTGTGATAAATTATATAACATTTAATTTGCCCTTTTTTTGGGTGGTATTTTTAGTGGTATTAAGTATATTGATACTGTTGTGCAACTATTACATTACCCATCTCCAGAACTTTTTCATTATCCCCAAGCTGAAATTCTACCCATTAAACCATAATTCTCTACCTACCCTTCAGCCTCTAGTAATAATTTTCCTATTTCTGTCTTTATGAATTTGACTACTCCCTGTACTTCGTACAAATTGAATCAAACATTTGTTCTTTTGTGTTTGACTTATGTCGTTTATTAGGTAGTTTAGCATAATGTAATCAGGATTCATCAGTACTCTAATGTGTATCAGAATTTCTTTCCTTTTCTTAAAATATCTTTAAACTTATAAAGTATATCAGAATTTCTTTCCCACCCCCTCCAGCACTAAGAGTTGAACCCAGGGCTTTGGGCATGCTAGGCAAGCATCCTACCACTGAGGTACATTCCCAGACCTTTTTTTTTTTTTTTAATATTTTTTAATTGTTGATGGACTTTTGTTTTTATTTATTTGTATGTGGTGCTGAGAATCAAACCCAGTGCTTCACGGATACTAGGCAAGCATGCTACCACTGAGCCACAACCCCAGCCCCCAGACCTTTTTATCTTTGAGACAGGATCTGGATAATTGATCAGGCTTGCTTTAAACTTGAAATTTTCCTGTCTCAGCCTCCTGAGTAGCTGAGTGTGTGCTTTCATTCCTTTTTAAGACTAAGTAATGTGCCGTTATATGTGTATACCACATTTATGGACATTTGAATTGTTTCTACTGTTTGGTTATTGTGAATAATGCTGCTGTGAACATTGGAGTACAGCTGTCTGAGTCCCTTATTTCAGTTCATTGGGGTGTATACCCAGAAGTGGAATTGTTAGGTCATATGATAATTCTATAGTTAATTTTTGGGGAACCTACCATATTGTTTTCCACAGCAGTTGTGACATGTTACATCCCTACTAGCTGTGTACAGGTTTTCAGATTTCTCCATATTCTTGTCAATTCTTCTCTCCCCCATCCCCCCCTGTGGTGCTGTGGATTGAAGGCAGGACCCTGCACATACTCTGCCACTGAGCTATGCCCCCAGTTCCTTTCTTAATATATGTGTATAAATATACATATATATGTATATATGTGTGTGTATATGTATATATGTATCTCCACACATATATGTGTGTATGTACACATATGAATATATTTTATGTATTTATGTGTATTTACATATACTTGGGTATATATACACACACACTTTTTAAAAAAATGTACTGAGTTGTATATAGACACAATACCTATATTTTTATTTATTTTTATGTGGTGCTGAGGATTGAACCCAGTGCATCATACATGCAAGGCAAGCACTTTACCACTGAGCAACAGCCCCAACTCATACATACACTTTTTCCATGATTGCTGCTATATGTGTGAAATGGTGTCTCATTGTGGTTTTGATTTGGATTTTCCTAATGAATGATTAGTAATGATGACCATCTTTTCAGGTGCTTTTTGGCCATTGGTATATCTTTGGAGGAATGTCTATTCAAGTCCTTTATTCATTTTTAAATTGTGTTTGTTGTTTTGTTGTTGTATAGGAGTGTTTTTATTTACTCTGGATATTAACCCCTTATTAAATATATGATTTGCAAACATTTTCTTCCATTTTGTGGGTTGCCTTTTCACTGTCTTGATATTTTCTTGTAACACATAATATTTTTAGATGTAGATGGACAAATACCTTATGTGGTGCTGAGGATTGAATCTGGTGCCTCATATATACATGCTAGGCAAGTGCTCTACCACTGAGCTGTAGCCCCAGCCCCATTAAATTTCTTTTTTTCTGTTGTTGCCTATGCTTTTTTTTGGTCATGTTCAAGAAATCATTGTCAAATGCAGTTTGTGAAGTTTTCCCCTTATACTTTATTCTAGGAGTTTTGTAGTCTTAGCTCTTAAATTTATATCTTTGATCCATTTTGAGTTAATTTTGCATATGGTTTACATAAGGTATTAACTTCATTCTTTTTGTCTGTAGTCCTTTCAGCACTGTTTGTTGAAAGGATTATCTTTTTCTTACTGAATGGTCTTGGCACCTTCCTATTCTCATATATGTATATGTATGTATGCGTGTGTATGTTTAAAATTTTTAACACATTGAAGATCGTAGTACTACATGGTTATATATAATTAATTTTGTAGGGGGCAGACATTCTGTCTTTACTGTCTCGGTGCTTCTGAATTTTAAATGGTCATTGATAAGGAAGGCCATAGACTGAAGTAGATTTCATTTTAGAAATCCAGTTCTTGTGCAGATCTATTTATGATTGTCTCAACAATACCTTACGGTGGCATATGCATGGTGCTCAGTTAATAAACAAGACCTAGGCACATTTCTTTGGGAGCATACTCATCCTGTGTTAGTCATTTTGCTTAGTAATAATGAACCTGTAACAGTAAGTTCTCATATTACAAATTAAATTTTTTATAGCTCATTGCAAGTTTTGAGTTTTTCTTATTTGCCTTACAAGCAGTTGTTAAATATTGTTATTAGGTCAATTTTGGAAGAAGAGATTATTGTTTATTATTTTTAAGTTTTGGATTCATATACTTGAGGCTACAGAGTGGACCCTTACAAGCTGCAAACAAAACACTGCCTACTTTATCATCTGGGCAAAATTAAAGCAAGATTTTTCGGGGCTGGGGT